ACACACACACACACACACACACACACACACACACACACACACACACACATATATATATATATATCAAAAAATATATATATCAAAAAATTATAGGGGAAACATCATGCAAAATCTACTATTTTAGCTGTTAAAAACATTTTGTCGTACTTAGTCTCTTGCAGGAAAGTTGAATTTAGTCTCTCCCGGCGCTGCATTTACCTTTATTTCTCTTTGGGTCATATTATTCTACCCATTCCGTTTTCTCTGTTTTCTATGATGTTTTCTGAACAATTACATCAAATTATTTGTGACAGAAGTTTGAAATACAGTCTGGATTTTTCAGCTACAATTCCAACATCTTCATTCTCCTCTGCCACTGGGACAGACTCTGGCTCCAACTGACATCCTTTAATTAATCTGTAAATAAAATGTTTCTGCACTGCTATATGTAGTCATAAATCCCTCCATTAAATTAGAATGAACCGGTCTGGAAGCTGGAGGGGGGCGGGACGTGAAGCTCCTCGTTTGGATTTAACAAGACAGACTCAAAAGGAGTTGATGTGAAACACCTCAGAAATGGGTGAAAGAGGGGCTTGTGGAGTTATAATAAGGAGCTCAGACCAAAGCATCGCAGTTCAACTTTATGAAAACTGCAACTGAATGATTTATACGCGTGACAAAGGATTTAAAACCATGATATGTCTACTTTAAATAAAAAAGGAGGGTATTGCAGTAGTAAATTGATCTCGGTTTCATATTTCTTTTCAGTATGTTGCCAGCATTAAATTCTGTTTACCTTTTATTAAAAACTGAAAGACATTGTCTTGTAGTCCTATATGTTAAAAGAAAGTTAAAATTTACAGACAAGTTTTTCTTCCTTTTTCTGTAAATAGAGTTTCTATGTTGAAGATTAGATTTTATTTTATTTATTTTTTTTTTTTTTGCAGCTGCTGAAACCGAAAAGAAAACTAAACAGTACACAAAATCAGAGAACTGTATCCTCTGGTTTTAACTTCTCTCTTATCTTAGTTTCCTTGAAAAGGATGTAACCTCAGTGTTTAGTTGTTGTGGATAATAAGTCACCTTACACGTTTAAAGTGTAAGGTTTATAGGGTAACTCTTAAGGGTCAAAGGTTATGCAACTTTTTTTTCTCCAAAGGGGAAAAAAACGTGAGTCAGAAGCACAGAAAGACAGAATAACCCTTGTCTCATTTTGCAGGGGCAGGGGAGGGGGAAGGCAAGGACCTTCAGTGGTACAAGTGCAATACAATATCATCTTTGAGCAAAATTAAAATTTCTGCTGGCTAGCAGAAGACACAACGATCTCCACCTATGGCTGCTTTGTGGGTTTACTGCATTACAAATGTTAAAACTTTATAATACAAAATTTTGGTCATATGTAAATTTTGTTTATTATGTCACATACACATTTCCAGTCGGTAAGCTGCTTCTTTTCTCCTGAGCTCTTGATGATTTTTAGAGCTTACAGACCAGCTGCACTTAGGAGGGCATGGGAGGTGCTCTCTGAAATGAATATGAAGAGCAGCTGGGTTTATCTTTGCTCACACTGACATGTGCTGCTAAGAAGAAAAAAAACAGGTGAGCCAAGAATTTGGGATGAAATGTAAACAAAGTCCTTAAATGATTTATTGCCTCCCGAACAGGCCTGCATTTAAAAGAAAAAAAAAGTTAGTGTCCTTGCAAGTCTTTATTATCGTCTGCCAATTCTTGTTTTGTTTCCTTTTCGCTGACACGGTCTTGAGCTCGGAAGAGAGCTGTACTTTAATGCTGCTTCAGATAAGAAAGTCAGTTGGATAGACAAATGAAACAGGGAGTGTCAGCAACACGTTCTTTTTCACACACACACACACAGACACACACACACACACAGACACACAATAGATTTGGGAAGAAGCACACTGAGGTGTGGATTTTTGTCTGTGTAAGTATATCATCTTCATGCCTGGGCTCTTCAGACACATCAGCTGGATATATTTAGAGTCCCCAGCGGGTGTATCCATGTTACAAGGCAGACCACAATTATTCACAACACCGAAAGGGCCAGTGCTGCTCTGGGATCAGTCAGGAAGTGTGTGTGTGTGTGTGTGTGTGTGTGTGTGTGTGTGTGTGTGTGTGTGTGTGTGTG